TTTTTTTTTTTTTGGTCTTTCTACTGTGTTTCTTGAGGATGATTTTAATACTATATTTTGGTTGGGTGTATGAATTTTCTGATGTGCGATAACCAAGTAAGAATACAATAGGGAGTGGTTTGGCTTGACATAACTATCCTGCTTAACATCAGGCAGACTTACAGTCTCAAAAACTACACCCACCACAAGAGAACAAACAGGAGCCCCCACTCTAGAAGAAACCTACTCACACAACATCCAACACAAAAACATAAACAAAAACAAGGTATCTACAAATACCAAAAGCCCTTAGAGTTGCACCTCCCTGCAGTAAACCCAGCTGAAAGGAATCTTCCGGCCTTGCTTGGCCCGGGCTGCGGCCCTCTCCTTGTGAGGGTCGATGCCTTACACACTCCAATGGCACCTCTTTATATAGAAATTAAAAATGCATGAATCATCGGTGTTAGGCACATGTCACCGTCTCACCAAACGTATTTTAAAAAGCGGGCGAAAAGCATAAAACTCTCAGTTTGTCTACTATATTATTACATAGTGGTAGGGTTTTCAATTATCAAGAGTTACATGGCTGACAGGCTCGAGTTGTTTTTTTTCTTATTCCTAAGTGGTAGGTCCTCATCATGTTTTTTTCTTTTTGCTTGTCGGACTCTCTTTTATTGTTAGCGTCGGCGAGTCTTTCTTCCTCCTCGTTGAAAGTAAGAACAATAGAGCGCACCATTTGCTTTGTTTCTTTTGTGGCATGAATCATAAGGTTGAGATTATGCTGCTAATTCTGGACTATTGCCAAGTCTTGTTTATCTATTTTTTTTGTTGTGATTACTAATCATAAGAATATTCGGCCTGCAATAATTCATTTTAATTTGGCTTGATAAATTTATTTTTGTAATGTTTTCAAGATAAAATAAATTCCATATGCTCTTTCTAATTATAGCTCTTTCTCTGTCAAATGGAGATTTTCTTGTACCAGTGGTACTAGTGTTTTCACTTCTCCAAATACCCCAACATGAATATAGTGATATGTTATTTTCTTCATTTCAGTTTGGTATTGAACTCCAGATCTTGGCAAAGATTGATTTATTATTTTCGTTAATTCTGCATTTTCCCATGTGCAGAGCGATAGCTTGTTTGATTTCTGGAAAATATGACAACTCTTTTGAACTGCTCTCTGGTAGAGAATATCAATAAATCCTCCCAAGAACAAGTCTCTTGTTATTTCAGATGCACCTCCTGGAAGAAAAATTGCTTTAATCTGTTGGTTTGTGCTAATAGGAATATATCCATGTTCACTTATACTCGCGTTTACTTCTTCATATAATGCCAGCCATTCTTTTTGAGTTATATTAGTTTTGATTAACTTACCACCCAATTGGTGCATTTTAAATCCATCAAGTTTTATAAATGGGGGTTTTTAATGATGTTCTTTAGGACTACTAGTATTCCGAAATAGCTTCTTTCAGAAGTGCATTCGTTTCCACAGTAAATGTCTTAGTCGAAGATATATTTTTAGTTTTGGCCGCGTGATAGTACTCTGGTGGCAAATCTTTTATTTTCTCAAAGTTTGGATAAACTTTATTCCGTATGTACGTGTACCAAGTAGGTGTTCTTTCTTCCTCGATAAAGGTTGATTGGGTCTTTTGGTCCTTCACCAAAGCATCTCTGTATTCAGTAGTTGTTTTGGCTTCATTTTTACTATTAGGCTCTGAGGGTCTTCCCTTCGCTGTCTTGTTTTTCAATGCATTATCTTCAATTTTTGCTTTGGGATTTCCAATTCATTCTCCTTTTTCATGATTTCCAATTTTAATTCTTCAATTGAAGATCCATTCTGGTCTTGTTTTTGAATTTGCAATTTTTCACTGGTTGTGATCATGTACCTATTTTTTCAATTAAATACATGCAAATTCTCTTGTTAAACAAGCATCAAGAAGATTTTATCACCTTTTATGTGTTCAACATCAAATTGATATTGTTTTAGGTGTAATTGCCACGGAATCAATCTACTCTGTTTGTAATCTTCTTTAAATTCATTTTTAATAAAATAACTGAAATGTTTATTATCAGTTCTTACTAAAACCTTATTGGAGATAAGATATATTTTAAATTTTTGAATGTCACGTAAAACCGCGAGCCATTTTTTTTCATTACTATGATAGTTCTTTTTAGGATCTTTAAAAGTTCCTGAAGTATATCCACACAGTTTTTCTTCAATAGAGTCTACTGGTTTTGCTTTTAAAGTTGCGCTTCCGTAAGAGTCGGAGGCGTCTGTTTCTAAAATCGTTTTATCATTTTCTTAAAGGTGATATAGTGTGGGTAAAATTTTGAGTTTTCTATTTATCTTTTCGACATACGTTGTATCATATGGTGACAAAATAAAAATGACATTCTTTTTTAATTTTTCTTGTAAAGGCTTATGTATTGCTGCCAAATTCGCTATGTAGCCTTCTACGTAATTTAAGATTTAAAGAAACCCTTGTAGTTGCTTTTTATTTCCTTTTTTGTGGGAAATTCAGAAATTTTTGTGATAATATGCAGTTGCTAGTTAGACTTACATTTTCAATTTCAAGTCCTAAGAAATTAATCTTAGTTTGAGAAATCTTTGCCTTTTTCTCAAAGAGGACGATTCTCTCTTTAAGACATTGTTCTAGTACTTGTATACCATGCTTATAATGTTCTTGTTCGGTTTTGCTGAAGACAATCATATCATCAGCATATACCGTCCATATTTTATTAAATTCTTTGCTCGGGTCTTTCAAACATAGAGTATAATCCAGGAGCTTGTTTTAGCCAAAAAGAATAACATTCCATTTAAACTGTCCATTTGGGCAACCGAACGCTGTTAACTTTCTACATTCTTCTTTCAGAGGGACTTGCCCAAATCCACTCTTACAGTTACTAAACCATTTCATATTTTTAATTAAATGAAATAATTCTTCTTTCTTACGTAAAAAAAATACCCATCAATTTATGTATTATCGTTTAGTGTTTTATAATTAATAACCATACGTCTTTTTTGTCTTCATTTTTTAGCTTGATTTCGACTAGAAAAGTTGGGCTACTATGTGGGGATTTACTAGGTTGTGCGAATTCATTTTTAGTATTTTTCAATTTATATTTTAAACTCTTCTCTATCTTGAGGAGTATAACACACTGGTTTGACTCTTATGACCTTTAAATGATCAATTAATTTTATTTCAGTAGGTAAATCTAGATCTTTTATGCTTTTATTAAGCAATTTATCTAACGAATTTTTACTCGTTATTTTATTTAATGTTTTTTGACAGGCTTGTAAAGATAACATATAAAGCATTTAATGCTTGATTAATCCCGGTTTTTAATTTTATTTGTTATTGCAATGTTTTTCTTTTTTATATTAGTAACCTCACTATGTTTTCATAGTTTGAGGTTTTTTGTCATAATTTTTTTGGATACAAAGCTATAAGCTTTACGCACTATTGTTATGTAAATTGGTACTTCATTCAAGTGTAACAATATATAATTTAATTTCTGGACAAATTGTCTGTATAATTTTAAGAAGCTATTTCCTATTAAAAGGTCTACTCCTGTATCGTGTTGGTATATAGTAAGAACTATAAATTTTTCTCTTGCTATTAAACGCGTGACATTAAAAGTCACTTTTTTAAAAGTAACTACTTGTTTATCTGCAACTTGTGCAATTATTTTTGGTTTAGCATTTTTCCATTTTTTGATGGGTGATACCAAAGGATGTGCAGCGCAAATACATGCACTTGTATCTATATATCCATGCAGATGATATAGTCTATATCCAGTGAATTTAAAAGCCATCTTGATATAGGTACAATAAGGGTTAGATACATTTAACAATTGTTCCATTCTTCAGAACTTTCATCAGTGCAACTTTCTCATTCTGAGTTAGGTTTTGAATAGAATTGTTTATATTCTAATTCAAAATTTAATTCATGTTCCGATTCATGTTTTGAATAGAATTGTTTATTCTCAGATTCTATCGGTTCAAAGTTGAATTTTTGCATTGCATAAAGTATTTTAACTTTATCTTTACTTTATGTTCTTTTAGGACATTTATTTGTATAATGACATCCTTCTTGATATAACCAACATTTGCAATTAGTTTTTTCCCTTTTGACAATATTTTTTTTTTCTTTCAATCCTTCTTTGATATCTGGTTTTGTCCATTTTATAGTTCTCTTTTTTGTTTTCCCTATATTTATGAATATACCATTTGTATTTTTTAACCTTTTGGTGTTTTAATTTTCGAGAATGTCTCTATTTCTAGTTCTGCAACCACATTTATTAGGAATCTCTAATAACTAAGGATAATAACGTGGTTTGTTTTGATAGTATATAAAAGTTCCTCTTAATTGAGTGTCTTTACATCATCTTCTATGGTTTCTTTCGTAAGATTTACTCTTAATGCAAAACTTTTTGTAATATGACGATGTTTTTTTTTCCAGAACGATAGAGGTAATATATAAAAGCACAAAAGTGCAAAAGGAACAAATTACAAGACCCCAATAGGGTAATTCTAAGACCCCAACAGGGTAATGAGACAGGGCCAACGGCCCAAACCAAAAATACCCTAAAACAAACCGAAATAAAAGACTGAGAGTATGCGCACATGGCGGCCTAGAGAACTCCACAGACAGGAGCCAACAGGGTAATGTGATCGTGTTTATTAGACCATTTTTTCTTCATTTCAAAAGCCCACAATGGTGGTAGATTATTGAAGTACTTTTCAACATATGCTGGTCTATCTTCGTTTTAACAAGTAATACCACTTTGATATTCACATGTAAAGTTTTTCCAGTAACAAATATCATATAATTGAATATTCTCAAGTATGATTTTTTTTTTTTTTTTTT